ATGTATATATTTTACCTATATAAAATATATATATACACATATATGTATCTATATTCCTTTGTTTCTTTGCCTGCTAAAACTGGCCACGAAAGACGGAGCTGCCTTCCGTTCGAAGTGGAGGGAGGGCCGGGGACGTCCCGACAGAGGCGTGAGTCTGAGCCTGGGCCGTTTTCACTCACGAGAAGATGATTTTCCCAGCCCTGCCCTCCCCTCCCCAGAGGGAGGCCCAGCTCCCCAGGCTCCTCTGCGTGCTCGCTCCCGAGGCCAGCTCTGGCCGGACTGCCACACAGGAGCTGGCTCTGGCCCTGCCTGGTTTCACTAGCGGGTCCTCTTGTTATTTTTCCATTGAAATAAAATATGTCCTCAAAAACCTGTACTGGAAGGGTGGGTGGCAGGAACTTGTACAGTTCAGCTTCCAACACTTTGGAACAGATCGAAAAGGGAATCTTTTAAATAAAACCTTATAAAAATATTTATACTTTTGCGGTAACGAGAGTCTGTTAAATGTGCCGCGTTTTCTCCCGTAACTGCCCCATCTCCCTCCCAGGATGCGCTGCCTAATTTGAGAGTCCGTCAGTCAGTCAGCGGCCTTACAGATCTGGGCTCCCGTGTGCAAGAGATGCTTGTTTAAGGAGTTTTCTGCCGTTGGTGTTTTTCTAAAGTTAACGTTGACATAGAATGCGATTGGAGTTTGTTTTCTGTCACCCTAAACCTGACAGTCGCCCCTTCTAGGGGGCGAGGGCGAACTTCGAAATCAGCCACAGGTCAGCAGCACCGCTGGGAAGCCGAAGGGGGTCTCGGGCCGGATGTCCGTCTCTGTTCCAGCCTAAGACGCGAGACCCAGGTATGAAGAGTTTCTAGGGACCCCGGCCGGTTCTCTGGGCTCAGCTGCAGTTGGGGTGGCCAAACTGCATTCCTAAAAGAGACCCCCTTCTCATCCAGCCAGTCTGCAGCCACCGTTCTTCCCAGCTCTGACCTGGGCAGAGGCTGAGTCAGGGTAGACGCCGGCTGCTCCTGGGCGGCTCCCGGGGATGTGGAGACATGCACAGAGGGCGGCCCGGACCCCAAGGGCCGGAGGGGCCAGCCGTTCCACGCCTGCCGTGGGCTTCTAACTGTTCAGCTGCCCCAGCCCCCACAGGAACCATTTAAAAAAGTGTTTTTGCTTATATATTTAATGACATAGTTGTTAGAAAGAGGCAAATGAGAAGCCGGGAAAGGGAGCAGTCAGGGAGGGACGTCTGAGTCCCTTCCAGGTTTGAGTCCCTGGTGCAAAGACTTCGCCTTAGCTCTGGGCCAGTGCTGGACTTGGTGACCACAGGAGAAGCAGCTTTTTCTGCAGAGGCATCCAAGGTGGGCGTGTAGGCTTTGCAGGTAGTGCTGGGAAGCGAAAGGTCCCTTTTCGTCCTGACCTCCAGGTAGGTTTGCTGCTTACTGCGTGCGCAGGACTCGTGTGGAAGGGGCCAAACGCGGGCCCCGCAGCCTGGCCAGGGCCAGCGGGGACAGTGCAGCACCAGGGCCGTGTGGAGAGGGGTGGTGCGTGGGTGCCATTTTGAAAACAGGCAAACATCCGAGGGCGACCAGAGCAACCTGAATTAACGTGTGCTGGGGGAAATGGCCTGGTTCCGGCCGACGGCTGTGCGCGCTGCCGTGGTGTCTGTTTCCTTGGCAGTTGGGTAGAAAGCTGCAGTGAGACCAGGTGTCGCTTCGTGGACACGCTCTCCCCCGTCCCCGTCCCTGCCAAATCCGAATGTCAGCCTTAACCCCGCCTTCCATCCTGACTGCTGCGCTGCAGCTGGTCGCTCAGCAGGGCCCCCTCAGCCCTGCCAGATGTGCCACATCTGGGGGGCGAGGAGTCCCAGACCCCATACCAATTCCTCGTGAAAACCTAGAGCTGGGTGGAGATCCACGTTTCAGCCAAGCCCCCACCCACCAAGGAAGGCCGCGTGTTGGAGATCCGGCGGGAAGCATGGTCCTTGGGGGGCTGCAGGGGGCTCCACAATTCACGATGGCCTCACGGACTCTTGCCATGCCAAACCTACGACTGTGCTGGGAGATGACTGGGCTACGGGCTTGGGTCAAAAAGTTCAAAAACCAGAACGGATCTGCGTTTCGTTTGGTTTTGCCCCATTTAAGGTGAAGTTGTCGGTGGGGCGAGGCCCGAGGTGGACAGACCCGCTTACACGGTTCCCAGGTGAGGGCTGGAAGGCAGCCGCGGCCAGTTTGCTTCGTTCGGTGCCGGGGGCCTGTGTCTCCCTTTTCCTCGCGTCTCTGATGTTTGAGGGGTGAGGACTTGAACATCTGGCTGAGCCATGCCTTGCGGGCTCCAGCAGTGTCTCATTGAAACAGCTGAAAGGACTCTCAGAAGTCACGAATGACAGACAGTATGTTCATTGGGACTCACTTGAGGACAAGTGACATGGACCTTTTCTTACTCGTCTGTTTGCTGGATCTGAGGGAGGGGCTTCCCACCCACCTTCCGGCACCAGGAGCTGGCACCTATGGGAAGCTGTGGCTCCAGAACATTCAGTGTGACCTGGACGGGGACTGCAGGTCAGTGAGGTTAGGCGGCTTTTCCGTGTTAAGACAGAAGGACACTTTCTGAGCTTTGGTTCAGAAGCCACGATGGCGCAGACAGCTTTCCATAACCATCAGGTCCCGCTTCCGATCAGGGCTGGGGCGTCCTATGTCCCCGCTCCGCTTCCTGGGAGCTCAGCCTGCCCTCAGTGCCCGACTAACGCGGCCTACGTCCCCTCCCTGGCTCGGCACCCATCTTGGATGTGGGTCTGTTCCCAGCACCCTGGTCCCAGCCCAAGTCCGAGACTCACAGCTCTTACCTGCTGCACTAACGAACGTGATCCAGGTTTCAGAGGGGGAAGTGGAAGCAATAAGCGAACGGGGCTTGGACAAGCTTGTCTCACAGGCGCCCTGCCGTAGCCCGCTGGGGTGACGAGTCTGGTGCTCAGGTGACCCTCCACCTTCGCGGGTTCCCCTTGGTTTGTGACCAGGGTTTCCTGCACTGCTGTTGTTGTCTCCAAGTGGCCCCTTGAATAACTTGACTAACTCATCACACGCATTTTTGCCTACATTATTTTTGTCGATGTTCTTACATTTGGAAGATTACCTGTGCTATTGATTTAATAAATTTGTTTACTTGACTATTGACAGTTCTGAACAACGAAAACAATAAACAGCCAATGGCTTTATTCTGGAGCAAGATTTACCCCCAGGAGACTCTTCCAACACGATACTGGACAGCAATCCCTGCGCTTTGGAAAATGCATGTAGCATAAGGATCCCCAGACTCCCACTCACCGAGCTCAGTGGCCTGTGGGGTCCCAGTGCTTGTAGCCTAGAAACGGATGCGGTTCCCCGTGAGGAATAGAAAGCAGATTTGTGCGCCGTGCTAAATGGATGCCTTCGACATCTGTCGGGCCGACAGTGCTCAAGGCAGAGGAGACAAGCTGAAAACTGTCGAGTGCCACTGCTGTGAGACCTTTGGCAAGTTAGTGAAATTCTGGTGTCCTTTTACTCCTCTGTAAAATCAAGAGACTTCTTTCCTTCAGTGTTAGGATTTAAAAGGAAGTGTTTATAAAGCACGTGAGGCAGAAGTTTGTTTTCCAGAAGGTGACTAATGCGGGGAATTCGGGGCCTGGGGGTGGGGTGGCGTGACATCACCGCCCCTCGTGGCCCAGCTGCCCTCCGCGCCAAACGGGGTAAGACGGGTTACACGTGGTCCCCGACGGTCCCCTCTGGCTTACGTCTGATGATGGTGGACCACTTAGGACCCTTAGCCTCCTTTGTATTTTCCGTCTGGTTCTTGTTTACACTCGGGAAAGCGACTGGCCAGCCGTCTTATTTCTTTGATGGCAGCCCTAATGGCCTTCCCGAAGATTCCCAGCCTCATCCGGTGTCTCCAGAAAATAAGTCCGTACAGCGGCGGGATTAGATGTGCTTCTTTTTCTTTCTAGTTGGAAAGGGCTTGGGAGTCATGGCTGCACCCTCTCTCGCTGGGAGAGTTATAAAGCTTTTCTCAGCAAACCAGAACTTTTTTTCTGTTCCTCCCTCATTACCAGCCTCAGCATCAGATGGAAGCTGGAAGGAAATCTAGAGGGTGAGGTTTTTCCCCTCACTTAGAAAGTCAACTCCCAGAACTTGTACTTATCCCCCAGGTGGCTCTTGGGCGTGTCTTCAGCGCTGTGGCCCTTGTGAGCTGAGCCAGCCTGGGCCTGGGGGAGAGCGGTGTGGGGAGGAACAGCGAGGGTGCTGATCTGCGTGCTCGCAGAGCCTGGCACGGTTCGCTGTCGTCACCGTGCTGTACAGGTCACATATGGCGGAAACCCAATCTTCCATTAGATGGGGGGGCGGGCAGCTTCTTCGCACCGGTCACCAGGTGAGCTTAACTGCACGTAGACGGTCCCCTGAAGGCAGTGCCGAGGGTCCAGAGCAGCAAAGAGGCGTCACCTCAGCACTGGCCTCCTTCCCTCCTCAGGTCCAGCCGCAGCACATGTCTGGGTTGGCCCTGGGCTTCGACCTAGGTCCAGAGGGCGAGTCTGCCTAGGAAGGCAGGGGAGCCAGCCTGACCTCTCCGCTGCCTTTCCTCTGCTATGACTTCCGAGGATGCCCTGTCCTAGGAAAGCCACTGGCTCTCATCTGAGTGTGACTCTCCCCATGTGATGTCCCAGCCTTGCTTCTGTCGCCTCGGGTGACGGCAGCGGTGCAAGCAGCCGCATGCTGTCAACCACACTCACGGGGACTCCATGGGCCCCGCTGTGTTGGCCTTGGGTGGTGCTGCCGACCCTGTTCGTCGATTAAGATACAGAGCTACAAAACAGTTCAAACCCCGGTGAACAAGAAAACATGGGCACAGGCCTACATACGTGTGGCACGTGTGGACTCACACAAAAGAGGAGGATCCTCCTCTATTGGGTAAGATAACTGGGTAAAATCTAAATATCTGGGGGAAATTCGTATGCCAAAATAAATTCTGCAAGAAATTAAAAAATTAAAAAATATATACTTGTCAGTGGATGTTAACTTCCATCTCTGGATCAATCAAGACCTTAAGCATAAAAGTAAAAAGAAATAAAAGAACAAACGTCTACACCTTAACTTTAAAATAAAAAAATGGAACGTTTTTGCAATAATTGACAAATGGATGCTGTACTTAATCCATAGGGCCTTAAAAATTCAGTATGGAGCAGCATGTAACAGAAACACGGGCAAAAGACATCACCACCTCACTGAAGAGAAACTGGCCAAAAAGCTTCTGGAAAAAGTAGGTGCCAATCTCAAGAGTATTAAAACAATAGAAACGAAACCTGTAACTTATCAAATGGGCAAATATTTGAAACAAATCCATGTTAGCAAACAGGGTAAAAACTTTCTGAAAGTAAATACCTTAAGTGTTCATACTCTTTAACCCAATAATTTCACTGCTAGGAATTTTTCCTCGAGACACGTTATGTGCCAAAGATGTAAGTGCAGGGATATACTTGGCAGTGTCATTTGGGAACAACTTCAGCATCGACAGGTGGGGACATTCAGAAGCTATGGCACACGTCACCGTGCTGGAACGTTATGTGGCTATTGAAAACCCTGCTCTTGACTAACGAGATGATGAAGCAGTGGCGGTCGTTGACTCCGAGTGGTGGGATTAGCTGTGATCTTAAGTTTTCTGTATTTTTCAAGTTTCCATTCATGAGTTTCCTTTATAACAGGGAGGAGGTTATTTACAAAAACGGGGACAAAAATGAAACGAAGACCAACATGGCTGAGAGCCCAGAACAAGCCCACTGCGGGTGAGAGCAGAAAGTGGGGAGTGACACATTCAGAGCCTCACCAAGAGTTCTGTAAAAGCCCCTGGAGTCCCCTCCGCCCAGAGAAGCCGCTTCCCCAGCAGCTGCCTCGGGCGCTCAGCTCAGCTCGGCGTTGCTTGCCCAGAAGGGTGTGGGAGGGGAAATGCACGAACGCACTTATGAATGGAATGTGTGTGTTGCAAGAGGCCAAGCTGGCAGCTCTGGCTTCCAAAAGGTGGGAGCATCAGCCGAAAGAACAGCGTGTGCAGACCGAGGCCTCAAGGCCTCACAGTCCTGGCTCATCTGCAGAGTTCTGGAGTAGGGGGCCCACAGGGGTTGGGGGCCTAGCCCCCCACCCAGAAGGCAACGGCCTTGGCTGCTCTGACCAGCAGAGGGAGTGCGTGCACAGGGAGCCCTCATCTGCCGATATCGCACGTGGAAGAGTCCTCGGTAAACGTCATTTACTGACACGTCCTGTGGGCCTTCCCTAACTCACTCCTGACAACCCCGTGAAGTAGGCACTAACGCCCCACTTTAAGGTGAGGAAACAAGGCTGCGAGGAAAAATAATGCATATGTAGCCCACTATTCTGTCATTTTCCACAAACCGGATCTTTGAATTTTTACGGTAATCCTTGAAAGTAGACACTTTCTCGTGTCATACAGCCGTGGAAACGGACTCAGATGAGGTTAAGTGACGTGCCCAAGAGCGGAGGGGCCCAAGCACCGCCCAGTCCTGTCCACCTCTGAAGGCCTTACGCACTGTCTCTGGGGACAGGAGCCTCGAGAGGCAAGCAGCAGCCAGGCTCCCCCAGCTTGGGCGCCTGGCAGGGGCGGGATGGAGCCCGGCGACACCTTTAGTCTCGAGACGGCATCGGCCTCGCCGGGGAGGCTGGCAGCGCCCCGAGGAGCTCGTCTCTACAAGGAAGGCTCCAGCTGCAGCGTTTCAACCCAAATCAAGCTCTGCAGTTCTGGCTCCTGGGTCCTACTTCCCCACAGGGCCAGATCGTCTAGAAGTTACACGAAGTTACACTTACAGGATTTAAACACTGCCTCAAAATGCTCAACCTTGACAGTTAAATTTAAGTAGACTTATTTTCTTCTAATTATAAAAGCAACATATACTGGTTTTTTTTGAGCAGCCTCCGCAGAGAAAAGCATTTGGTAAAACCTAACCTGCCAGGCCCGTGCCAGAGATGAATGCTGTCGACATCCTGGCATGCAGCCTTCCAGGTTTTGCTCCAAGCCTATGTGTGTTCTTGTACATTTTTTCCTACAAAATGGACTCAAACCCCAGACTGTCCTGTGGCCCTGCGTGCATGAACCGATCTCCAAGAGCGTCCCGTGAGGGCGTGTCGGCCCTGTCCCGAACGCAGTGATGCTAACTTACCGGGGCCACAGCTGGGGGGTCTGGACCACTCGCAGTTCTCTGCCTTACACACGCACACGTCGATGTTTAAAAATGGCTGCCTAGAACGCCACGGTAATGACCCGGTGGCATTTCCTCCACGCACGTTCGGTTTCCTCCACGCACGTTCGTGTGACGACACTACCCTACGGTTCCGGGAGTGGGAGTGCTGGGCCCCAGCGTACGGGCCCGTTTACGAGGTGTTTTGGCACGACACGTACTGCAGCGTGGGTAAGTTCATCTCTTCTGGAGGACCCGTGTGTGCCTGTGCCCACGTCCTTTCCAACACGGGAGGAATGCTAACAGTTCGGGAGCTGATAAAAGGCAGAGCCCTGGCTTGGAACAGGAGCTCCCAGTGCCAAGGGCAGGCATGCTGCGGTGGCGACGCCTGGTGGTGGAGGGCGGCACTGCGGCCGTGGTCGAGGGACGCAGCAACTAAAGGGACAGACGCCAGCGTCGGTAAGAAGCTGAGTCTTCTATGCTCCTGTCTCGTAGACCTGCCAGGGTTTCAGCTCAGCCTATCTGTTCATTCAATTCCATCACAGCTGTCAGTGAGAAGAGTCCGCCTTACGGAAACTCGCTCTACAGATGCGGACAACTGCATGTGTCAGGTAAGGGGCGTGCTGCAGGAAGCGGGCGCCTGCACGGCGCCTGCAGGTAAGCACAGTGACGCAAAGTACAAACAAACTGGGTCTCCTCTGCTCGCCATCTTAAGACAAGGAATGTTTAAATTTTAGGCATTTATTGAAAACTTCATGCCATATAAACGAACTAGACTCTCCAGCTGGTACACTGTTTCCCAAAGCTGTCTGCTGGATGGAGAGGCGGCAGCCTGACCTCACTCTGCCACTGCCCACGAAGGACACGCTGGTACCTGGAAGGTGGTGGGCAGACTCACGAACAGAAATTCGGGGTGATGTTGTCCTCTTCGTTTTTTATTCCCATCAGTCCCAGGCCGGGGAGCGATCCGTGGGTGCTGCAACAAATGGGTGAAGACAGGTTTTCACCCACAGGGTCGGAGGACGGCGGTGAACGCGCGGGCAGAGGAGGTAAGGTTTTCGGGTATGTGTGCGCTGTGGAGGGTGTGGGGGTGGAGGGGTGAAGGGGCGGATGGACAGCTTATGGAAAGCTGCCTGCTGAAAATGGTCCAGTGGGAATACTGTCTCATCCCAGAGGCCTTGAACAGCTCTGCCACTTAACTGACGTGAGGCACACGTCAGCCAAGGGTGAATGCTCAAGCTGAGTTCTGCTCCTGCAGCTGTAAGACTGTTCAGTAGTTAAACTGCTACCTCACGGGGCTTCTGTGAGAGCCACACACAATGGGAGCTAACACGGAGCGCTTACGCACGCCCGGGACTGTTCTAAACACCTTACATACATGCTCGCTTAATCCTCAAAACAGCTCCTGTACCTAACGTAGGTACCGATACAGGGACAATTATTCTGCCCACTTTTCAAATAAACAGGTTCATGGACATAACTGGTCCAAGTCATGTAACTGCTAAGTGGTAGAACCAGGTAATGCAATCTGCCTTCAGAGTCCTTTTAAATTGCTGTTAAGTTTGTTCTTTTGTTCATTTTACTTAAAAATGCTTATAGCACCTACCGTGTTCTAGGCACTGTTTGAAAAACTTTACAAAATGTTAACTCATTTAATAATTTACGCTGTAAAGGAGCTGGCACAGTGCTTAGGATTTAGGAGTCAGCTGACACACATCAGTTCCCTGTCCCCTTGCAGTGAGCTCTCGTGGGGTGGGGCTGGGGCGGGGGGAAGCCCTCGGGTACCGCGGACAGCAGCAGGAGCATGCAGGTGCCCACGCCAGCGCCCCGCCTGTACTGGGGCCGAGCGCTCGCCTTCTGGGCCCAAGGCTGGAGCGTTGCATGCTGGGAGCAGTGCTGCAGTCAGGTCATCGGGGCTCAAACCCTAACTGTGCGCCTGCCATCTGCGTGACCTCAGGCAAGTAGCTTAACCTAAGTCCTTTTCTCTGTTAAACAGGATTCAACAGCCTCAACCAAAAATACATTTAGCATGGACCTGACAACAAGGGTTTGATAAATTATAGCAATCAGTATTTCAATGCTGATTTTAGCAGCCAGCAGAAATGGAAGGATTGGGAGCCCGGTGGGCTCCTGCACGAGGAAGCCCGTTCTCTTTGCTCCCCCTGCCTGAGCGGCCCTTCCCCTTCCCCAGGGGCATCGCTGGCAGCACGGAGATGGCTGCGCAGACCAGGCCCAGGGAAGACGGTGGCTTCTGGTCTGGGGGAACGCGTGCTCCTGCTCCCAGGGTGATGGACGTGGCTGTAGAAGCCAGAGGGTGACCTTCCCTACCACAGAGTCTGCTGTTTCAAGTTTTCTCCTGACTGGTCAACATGCCTCGGGACTCTGCCTCGGTCCGATCCTAAGCCTTTCCGCTGCCTACCCTCCTCCGAGCCCTCGCGCCCACCCCGGGAAGGACGATGCTCCGGCCTGCTCGGCCGGTCGCCGCGCCACGGGAGCGTGAGCTGGTGCCGAGCTGCCCTCTGCCTCCTGACGCCGTGTCCGCGAGGCCAGGCCAGGGCGGGGCCGTGTGGTCATTCTCTGCCTGCTGCTAGCCTCCCCACAGCCTGTTAAAGGCACGTCAGTCTAAGATGGCTTCTCGGTGGAAACGCCCAACCTCACTCCTGTCCCTGGAGACAGCAGTTCCCTCATGCAGCCTGCAGTCCCCTGTCCCACCAGTGCCTGAGGTGCCCTCACAGGGGACTTGACTTCTGGCCCGGCCTCAATGCCTGAGGCATTAACGCTGTCATTTGGGACATTGGGCCTGGGAATCCTAGGTAGTCAGAATTTGAAGGGCCTTTTTAGAAATAATTCAATCCAGTGATTTTCGAACTGCTCAAAAGAGCCACGGCCCTCCTGGCCAGATCTGCCCACTCGCCCTGGGGCCGCCGGCCTCCCGCGCCAGCGCTTCACGTCAGCTTTTCTTCCAAAAAAAGGGTTTTATAGTTAGAAGGGTTTGGAAATCACTGATTCACTCCAAATCCCCATTTTACCTATGGGAAACTGGCCACGGTGGGGAGGTGGCTTGGCCCCTTACTGGAGGAGACAGGTAGGAGGCAGAGTGGGGGCAGAGTGAGGACTGGGCCCACAGCCCCGCGCAGTACTCCTCGAGCTTTTGGCGAAATGGGCCCTTCTCTCCCAGAAGCCAACGGAGGTGGCAAAGGGGAAGCGGGCAGGGGAGGCAGGACCGCCAGATACCTGCTGGGCAGGGGAGGCCCCGTTCACTCCCAGGCCTGAGCCTTGCCTCAGGACTTCTTGGCCATTTTTACTCGAGAGGGTCAGGCAGAGCTGCCTCTTGCTCCAGAGGCTGCAGGACTGAAGGGTCTGCCTTTCGACGGGGACGAGCTGTCTCCCGGCAGAAGCGCATCTACACGTGACGTGGGAGCGCGACACCTGGCTCTCAGCATTGTGAGAATTGAGAGGGCTCATGGAAGTCCCCGTTTACGTGTTTGGACGGCAATAGAAGTCCTCTAAGAACAGCTCAAGCCCAGAGGCCAGACCACGAAGGGACAACCCTCAGTCCTCACCTCTTGGTCCCTGGCAGCAGGATGAGGCAGAGGGTGCCCGGGCACAGGCTGTAGTAGAGCTTCCCTATCTTCCGGCCCCAGTGCCAGGCTGCTATCTTCGGGTGGTCCACCTTCAGGGCCTAGGATCAAAGCCGCGTGTTGACGTCCAGCCAGAGTACTTGCTGCTCACCTCTGGGGGAGGGGGGCGGGGCGGGGGGGCTGCGACACTGTCTCAGGCTCTAGAGCCATGGGATCCCAAGAAAGGCTCTGTATAAATCCTGAACCTGAAGCCGGAGCCCACTGCGGGCTCCTCTGCCCACCCCGGCACCCCCAGGCCTCTTCACTGTAGGAGGACAGCGGCTTCCCCTTCCCGCAGAGGGGCCTTCCAGGGCCCTGAGCTGAGGGAGCCATGTCACCACGAAAGCTCTAGTCCAGCCTCTGCCCTTCAGTAGCTTTGTGGCCTGGAAAAGTCACTCACCAGCTCTGGCCTCTGTTTCTCATCTGCTACGTGGGAAATCAGAACAAACTTCTGCCGTTCACCTCCCTTTCCCCTTCTGCTGGTTTAGTCCCCTAATGGTATTTTTTAAAGTTTACAGTCTATTTCTTCCTTAGCCTCGTGTAAATAATACTATCTATGAAGTCACACATTTAGTGCGGTTGTTGTATATTTTAATGGCTGTTAAACGAGTTCATAACTATAAAAGTTAAAAATAGAGTTCATCCATGACCACCAAAAATCATTGTGTCTATAACACACTTTGGGAAACCCGAGATCACCAAAGACACGCTCAGCTTCCCAGTCTCCTTCCTCAGCCCCAGAGTCCCTTGGAGAATCTACCTGGAGGACAAAAAGCAACCTGATCTGGCCGAAAAGGAAGGGGTGAAAGCATGAAAGTTCTCAGAGATAAAAAGATGTGTCCAGGGCAGAAAAGAAGACTGAAGGCTGAAGTGTCACTTGAGCAGCACTCTCCTAACGTCCCTGAGCCTCAGAAGGCCACTCCCAGAGCCAGCAAACCAAGGCGGCCACCTATCCCCTGAACCCCGGGATAGACTCCCGCACTCACCTGCAAGGCCTGCTGCTCCGAGGGCGGCGGCACCACGCGGAGCCCCGGGGCCCTTCTCGATTCGGGAGGGGTGCCCCGCAGCCACGTGTGGAGGTGCCTGGGGGTGAGGGCGTGCCTGCCTTTCAGCTTCCAGTCCTTGCCTTTGAGAATGCTGAGGGCCCTCTGGGCGCTGCTAAAGCTTTTGAATTCTGAAAGCAACAACACCCGCTTCTGTTATTAAGGGCCAGAAAATGCCAGTCACCAAGCTGGAGCACCAATTGGGAGCTGCTGGCCTGGCCGGCCCGGAGGGCTGCCTTGGTGACCAGTCTGGTCCCTTTCTCTGCCTCATGTTATCATCATCCCCAATCCCTTCCTCAAGGCTATGCTCCCGGCACACACTTACTCAGGAAACAGTATTTCTTCTGTTTTCCACTTCTAAGATCTTTAGGTAAGATGACAGCTTCCAGGCCCAAGAAGAGGCTGGACTGCTGCAACAGTTGTTCTTTGAAGGTTCTGCTCACTCCAGCCAGGTATATAGTGCCTCGGTTCTCAGAGTCTCGTTGCAGCTCATTCACGAGGGTGTCGCAGTCAAGGGTGAGCTCTGTCACTGGCCTCTGAACCTAACCAGGGAAAGATGGCGTTAGCAACGTCCACGCGGAGGCTTGTTACACATAAGCAGGTAACTGAATTCTGCGGCTTCCTCACCTGTACAGGGAGGCTAATGACAACTGCCTGAAGGACTGTGGTGGAGACTTAATAAGCAAAACACAACCGTGAGCATCTCTGGGTACACATGCTTCTCCCTCCCCTGCTCCCCCTCACCCCTGCAGCGAAGTCGGCTCCCTGCCTTCTACCCCCATGAAACTGCTTACTTGCATAAGAAACTTCGAATGCTGAAGGAAAGGCAACCACAAAAACCACCTCAAACAAAGAGTCTGGGCTCCAAGCAGTGGCAGAGGACAAGGAAGACCCCCAGTAAGCCCAAGCCAATCCGGACGAAACGAAGCTGCCGCATCTAGGTACCCGGAGACGCAGGCTGTGCAGGGTGGTGCTGAGCCACCAGCACTGCCTTCGCTTTCCCTGACCACCCTACCTTGATGCAGGTGTCCTCCACCACGGTGCCATCCAAAGACTCTATGGCCAACTGGGCGGCTTCCAGGACTTCGTACTGCACGCAGAAGTGTGGCTGCAGGAAATAAGATTTCCTTATGTCTGCTGCCCAGGTGCACTGCCAGAAAGGGCAGGCGAGGGCCTGAGACCACAGTGGCCAAGCTGCCAGAACTGATGTCCTTGCTATGCTGGGCTACACGGTTGACGGCAGATCACCAACTTTAAGTGGCATCACCAAGGTTCAGAAAGTGGTTTCTCAGATGAATGACCTGTATTTGTCACTTAAAACCAAAGCCCCCTCTCCCCGAGTGGAATGGGGAACGCAATGACAAACTCTTCACTACGCAACTTGCTTTCCACACCATTGATTTCCACACAGGTTCCCATCTGTCCTGTAAGCCTAACTTCTGGCAGCTTCCCCCAGGCTTGGGGACGTTAAGTCCTCCCACTGGGTGGGCAGCCCTGTCACACTGACTGCTTTCCTGCTGTGTGTGGACAGGAGCCACAGCATCAGCACGGAGATACTCCCACAGAAAAGCTTTGTGACACTGGATATGGCAATGATTTCCTAAAGGTGACACTAAAGGCAGAGGTAACACATACTGGACTTTTATCAAAATTAAAAACTGCAAAGGATACTATCAACAACGTGAAAAAGCAACCCAGAGAATGGAGAAAAATATCTGCAAATCACCTATCTAATGAAGGATTCGTATCTAAAAATATTGAGAACTCCGAAAAATCAACAACAACAAAAAAATCAACCCAGTTAAAAAATGGGTAAAAAAAAAGAGACAGTTCTCCAGAGATATAGAAATGGCCAATAAGCATATGAAACATCACCACTCAGTGGAGCCAGAGACACCATTTCACATCCACTAGGACGGCTATGATCAAAATCACGGAAGGTAAGCGCGTGTGAGGACGTCGAGAAACTGGAACCCTTGGCACTGCAGGTGGACACGTGAAATGGTGCAGCTGCTGTGGAAAACAGTAGGGCGACTCCTCAAAAAATTAAACGCAGAATTATCATTTAACCCAGCAAACTTACTTTTGGGCATATACCCCAAAGAATTGAAAATAAGGACTCAAAATGGTAATTGTACATCCGTGTCCACGGCAGCATTACTCAGAATAGCCAAAAGACAGAAAACAATCCAAATGTTAGATGGATGACTGGATAAACAAAATGTAGTATATTCATAAATGGAATATTATTCAGCCTCGAAAAGTAATGAAATTCTGACACAAACGACAACACGGATGAACTCCAAAGAAATATATGCTAAGTGAAATAAGCCAGACATGAAAGAACAAATATTTAGGATTCCGCTTATATGATGTCCATAGAGGAGGCAGATCCACAGGGACAGAAAGGACAACGGCAGGTCCTAGGCCCAGGGGAGAGGCCTGGGAGTTACTTTTTGATGGGCACAAAGTTTCAGTTTAGAATGATAAATAGACTCTGGATAAAATGTACTTAATTACACTGAACTGTGCACTTAAAAAACAGTTAAAAAGGTAAATTCTGTGTATGTTTAACAAAAATAAAAGAAACAAAAGAAAAGCGAAAGACTACAGGGAGAAGTGACAGTCCCTTGACATCCCTCCGTCCGTCTTCCCAGGGATAATCTTTTTATTTCTAAGTAAAGACATTAACATTTGGGGAAAGCACATTTTAAATGTTTACAATGCTGTACTGAGATCGGTTTAGAAATCTAATTTTTGCTTCCCTTTAAGTTATTAAGATGTCACGTTAAGTAGTTACTAAACACAACAGCTTAGTGCACCAGGTTTATAGCCTAGGTCAAAATTCTAAAGGCACAAAAAACTTTACAGTGAAAAGTCTTTCCTTAAGCCCTGTCCCCAGCCTCCTTTCCTCTACCTGGAGGCTCCCAGTGTTACCACATTCTATTAGACCATTTCGATTTTGAGTTATTTCCCTGGTTTTCTGTTTCTATACCATGTTGTTTGTAACGTTATTGCTTCATATAATAACTTTTGCCTTTATATGCTGACTTCCTGCAATGACCGTGAAGATGGAAGCTTCCTGTTAAGTCCTTTTAAACAGCATGAATTTTAACATAAGTAAGAGATCAATGAACAAAACGTACTCTGAGCGACTGGAGAGCTACGGACAACACCAGCCCCGCCACGGCTGCTCCCACACCTCCCCGCACCTGGGAACCTACCTCGGAGATAAACCCTAGAGACTTCCCAAGACATGGACTTGAAAGGGCATTTTATCATTTCAGGCTGAGGTCACAAGCGGGAAGGCCACAGGCTACATTCATCCAGGAGACATATTTTTGGTCTGGCTTACATATTTAAGAAAACTGGAACCAACCTATGAAAATTGGCAGATTTCTTAATTCTCAAAACAAAAAAAATCAGATCTGGCAACACTGGGTACATATTCTCGTGGGTCAGCAACTCAACCGCTGCCATTAGGCGCGGCATATCTCACGCTCCGGCTGGGGACAATCATGCTCCCATCCCCGGTATCTGCTATCTGAATAGCCCCGGGGGCCAAGGAGGGAGGTCAGAATCTGCGTTCCCGGGCTTGCTACCTGGTGGGTTTCCAGAACGAGGCTCATTGAGCGGACTGGGCCGAAGCTCTTGAACAGCCTCCGCAGAGCCCCGAGGTCACAGTGTTTGCTAAACGGCCCGGCATAGACTGTGGATATCTCCGTCCACTTGATCCTCATCTATGAGAAAAACAGCAGGATACAGCGATTTAAGTCAAATCTAATGAAATCGTGAGTCAAGAGCATGGGATAATTCCACTCCAAGGAACTTCCCCACACAAACCCCCGCCAAACACACAGGCGTTATTTCACTACAGGGTTATGCGGAACAGCAGAAACCTAGAAAGCGTGAATGCTGAAACAGACAGGTGTCTCGTACTACAGACAACTACAAAGCCGTTAAAAACAAGGGAAATAAATTATGTGATGACATGCAAAGATGTGCACGAAATGAATCAAGTTGCAAATGAAAATAGAAAGCTGCAAAACAGTATCCATAGTCTGAAGCCCATGTTTACAAAAAAAATATTTTCTAAAACGTTAATATACACATACAAAAAATCTAGAGGAACATACAGCTCACTTCACACAGTGTGTGCGACTCGGTGCAGGAGGCTGTGAGCCAGTAAGGTAAACAATCATCTAGCAGAACCCATTCAACTCACCCGTTTGTTCATCTCCTCCGTGAGGGCAGGGGAAAGCATTTCAAAAGACAGCTGGACCACAGTGAAGGGGAACAGGGGGATCTCCACTCTGGCCTGCTCGAGCACCTGCAGAAGGGAGCACAGCCCAGTGAGGGGGGCCCGAGTAGCCTGTGGGGCTCCCGGAAGCGAGCCACAGGGATAGAAACCACGGTCGTCTCTTCACCCACGTGCGAAAGCAATGACAGAGGGCCGACTTCAAGGTCTGGAGGGAAGTGGCGGCACCGCACAGCCTCCTAGAGAAACCGCATCATCAGCAGAGAGAATAAAACCACACACGTCCCAAATCTTCAACACCACTAAAAAACAGACGACGACAGCCTTCGGATCTCCTCCGAGTAAAGGAGTGAGATTCCGGCAGAGCTCCCGGCACCCCATGCTGCCGCGAGCCGGTAAGGAGCCAGGAGGAACAGCTTAGGAGACTGGGAAAAGCCAGGGGGCAGGGCAGACTCGATGAAGCCAACAAAATCATCCCCAGAAAGGAAAAGCATAACACAACGCCAAAAGAATGGACACAGGTCAGGATCTGATGGCGCATGCACTTGACCCGGGGGAAGAGGCGTGGCAGCCTCAGAGCAGCAGGGCTCGGGGGAAGAACCGGGGCTCGGGGGAAGAACCGGCTGCGCGGACAAGAGGCCATGGCCCTGGGGACACTGCAGTGAAGGGAATGAAAGGCCCTGCAGGAAGATAGATGAGGCCAGCGCCCACCGCGCTCAAGGGCACTGTAAACTCCCAGTTCTTCCCAGCACATCATTCTCGAAAGAAACAACACTAAAAAAAAAACTGTGACATCAGCAAGATGGAGTCCAGGAAGCATCAGGTCCTCGCTGTCCCACGGACACAGTCCAGACAGACCGCAATGCCCTGGGGAGAACGCGGGACCAGTAGGAGGCTGCAGCGCCTGGACCTACATCGAGCCAGGAGGCATCCCATCCAAAGGGGTGAGGAAATCTGCAGCGTGCTGCACACCCACTCAGGCTCCTCCCACGACCCGGATGAAGTTCACGCTCTCATGCATCCCTTACCATGCAGCGACAGAGAAAATATAAAAAGACCGCCAAAATGACATAGGCAGCTGAAAACCAAGGCAGACATCTCCACGAACCAGAAACATAACAAAAATGCAACGTGGTGTGCAAGACCAAAGCCACAGGCCTGCTAAGCTCTAGAAGCAGACACTGCTGTGGCATAATGGGGACAAAAAGCGCTCCACACAAGACGTGAGACAAGCCAGGCTTGCTAAGGGCAGCCAGGGCTGCAGACGAAGAAAGGCTTGACGCTTGCACGTGTTACAAAGGGTTACATTCCCCTCTGCTCTGAATGCAACCTTCAAAGAGACAGCAGGTCACTCACCTCTTTATTTGAAAGGCACTTAATAGTCTGACAGTTTTTGGTAGAAGAAAGTTCGCTAGTATCTGCATCCCGGGTCAAGAAAAGGAGCTTCTGACCCACTGAGTCCAAGCATTCCAAAACACTGTGGAGCACAAGAGACCAAGGTAAGAACGGCAGTGTTCTCCAACCCAAGAGCTATTCCTCTGCACTTGCACTAAGAGCCACTAGCGACATGTGGCTAGGAAATGAAAATTAATGATAATTAAATAAAATTAAAACTTAGTTCCTCAATTGCACTAGCCGCCCGTCCTGTACGACATGCAGACCTAACTGAACAGCTGAGACGTGGGACAGTTCCACCACTGTAGACGTCGCTCTGGATAATGCTGCCCCTCATTAGGGAGAGGGCAGATGAACAAGAAATACACTCGAAGCTCTCTATCAGAGATTGGGCCGGAGTCTAAGGATCTGGCATGTACGATGGTGTAGAGACAAACCTCTCTGAGCCTGTTTTCTCAAGGCTGTAGATGACTTCTATGGTCTTTTGCCTTCTACAAAATACGCACTAGTCTATCATCTCCCCTAATGTTACTCAATTCAATGTATTTTAATGTCTTACTTTAAAATAAATAAATAAATAAATAATTTAAAGGCCTGTTACTAGATTCAGAAAATCAGAAAAATAAAGAGATACTATTTAGGGTAGAAGGTGGTAGGTATATTTTCCCCTCCATGGTTTTTGTGATGGAAGAATGTTACTGATATGATACTACTGGTTTTTTAGTAGACTCAAAAGAGGAAAAGCAAAATCTCAGGTTTTGCTGTTAAATAAGAAACACACTCCATTTGTCTTGGCCCTTGTTTGGAACTGAAAAATGTTACCTTTTATTTGGCTGCTGAGCTACCTCTGTTGCATTGCTTGGCTCCTGGTCTGCTCCTTGCAGTTCCTGTTGACTAGCTAGAGCTTCGAGATTTAGTTCTGCAATCTTGGAGGAAAATAAAGTGGTAAAAGCATGTGAGGTTAAAAAAAAACAAAAAACAAAAAACCTAAACAAACTCCAAGAAAAATCCACTCAAGTGGTGTTCTCTGCTTCTCTGGACAGTGGCTTTGCCATTGTCATAGGCCCAGGGGAGCTTCAAGAGTTACGAGATGGTTTCTGGCGACTCAGCCAAGGATGTCGATCTGCTGCCAGCTGCCGATGTCGCTCATGAGCATGGGAAGAGGCGGGGCCAAGTGAAAATGCGTGGCAACTCTGGTTCCTCATTCCTTCCAAAGCCAGTCACTTAAAATTTACTCTTCTGTAAACATGCAACTTTTAGAAATGGTAAAAGAATGGCTTTTACAGCAACATCAAAAAAGACCTTTTACTGGTTTCATACAAAACCACAATGTCCAGTCTAGCTTCTTCCATGCAGTGAGAGACTACGTGGGAGCTGTGACAGAGAGTGGGGCACAAACTTTTTATTTAGAATCGTTTTAGATTTACAGAAGAATTACAAAGACAGTACGGAGTGTCCATAAACCCTCTTCCCATTTTCAATTATTATTAATATCTTAGATTAGCATGGTGCATTTGACACAATTAACGAACCACAATCAATGTGTTATTAACAAAAAGTCTATGTTAATTCAGATTGCCTTAGGTTCTACCCAAGTGAGATGCAAGTGCCACGGGAGACCGCGAGGCAGCACACTAGAACGCAGAGTGCGCTTCGAGAACCCCTGGCAGTTCCAGAGACCCTTTCCGAAGTACACAGGCCCTCGCTTCTCTGCCTACAACTACACAACAGACTGTAAAAGCAGACACGAAAGTCACTGGTCTCCTATTAAGCTAGACAAAGAGATTTACAAAATATGTAAAACAATACTTTTCCCATTAATTTTTTTGAAAATGCTTTTTTCTCATAAAAATTCCTTTTTTGTGTTAACGTAATTTTTTATATTTTTAACAAATATTAAAATGATCTTCCCTCATATTTAATTTCTAATATGGTTAAATGCTGACGGATATGATCCACATAAACCATTTGTGGGTAAATGGGTCCTGAGACCAAAATGGTTTTACAACCTCTGATGTGGTTTAGAGCAGGGGCTGGCGTGGTCTAGTCATCGCGTCGAGTCCGGCCCCATGCCTGTTTTTGGTAAACAGTGTGTTACTGGTCACGGCTGCACCCATGCACTGACGTGCTGCTATGGCTGCTTATGCACCACCAACAGTACGTCGAGTAGTCGTGACAGAGGCAGTATGGCCTGGAAAGCCTGACATATTTACTATCTGACCTTTATGGAAAAGGCTGCTAACCTCTCACGCAAAGCAAAGACAGCCTTTGGGATGTGACAGACCTGGGTTTGGATCCTGATTCCACCTTGGACAAGTTGTGGGGCCCCAGACAAGTTACCTAACCTTCCAGAACCCCAGAACGCTCACACATGAAACTGAGAGGACAGTTAATTCACAGAGCTGCTGTAAGGAGATCATGTATATAAAGCATTTTAGAACACTGCACTTAGTAAGATCTTGGTGAATGCTGGCTATCATTATTTACATGCCCGAAAAGATATTTCAGAATGTCTTTCTACCACCACAACACGAAACACTACTCTGGCTGTTTATGATTCTACACGAACTACACTTTCTTTCATGATGGACTCATGACAACATTCGTAGTGGGACAATCAGAATGCATTATGACAAGGTCTATCAGAAACTACATCCTCTTCAATGTCTCGCTCATGTGCTATTCTAATCAATACCCACTGTACTGCTGTTGAAGCAATGGTCTGCTCCTCACCCCAAAAGAGCAAAATTCTATGTAACTTTTATAATTATCACAATTATTAGCATCACCTACAATGATCAACACATGATGGTGCTTAATATATTCAAGGCACTGTGCTGAGAGCTTTATACGAAGTATCGATCTCATCTACCCTCACCAACATCCCAGAGAGTATCCCTATTTTACAGATGTAGAAACTGAAGTTGTTCGGAGAAACTGCCCTCGGTCCTAGAGACATAGTAGTCTATATTTAAAAACAGGCTTCAGACACTAAGATGTTATAAGCACATTATGCTAGTGATAGAGGACTTAATTCTGAATACATGCTCAGCTTGAATGAGACTCTCATTTTTATAAAGAAAGGTAACAACAGGAATGGCGGGCTATGACTATCTGTTCTAGTCCCATAATTTTAAGAATAGCAAACACGCAGATCAAAGGCACTAACCTTCTTTGGGCCGTATTTAAGAAAATACCGAGCCAATTCAAGGGTTGTTCTGGCGTCTTCTTTAGCATCATGACCAAGCTTATCTGGATTTTGTATATCCTTCCTGGAAAGTCAAGATGAAATTGACATACCTGTATTTCTAAATGATACTTTCAATAATCTCAAATATTCTGGTTACATGTAAGATTTAGCATTCTGATCAGATCCGCATCGCAACGCTACAGATTCCTTTATTCCTAAGCGCCAGGATCTAGAGAGGTACTGCGGACGTAGAGTGATCAGGAATGACTGTCTGCAGTAAGCACACCATCTGGACAAGAGGCTACCCAATGAAAAGCCCCTTACCCACTCCCCCTCCCCTTGTCTCGTTTCTCAGATGTAAACACTATTTAAAATTTCCTTCCAGAAATTTTCTATTTGTATACAAGTGTCTATATGCACTTAAATACTTTTTTTTTTTTAAATCTTACTTCAAATATGTATGTTTATGTCTAGAGATACATGTAAATCTAGTCTACACCATATCGTTGTCTAAGAATACACAGCATCTCCAGTTTATTCTCAGGAGTATCTTAGAGAGCTTTCCTCGTCAGCACACACAGGTCCTTCACATTCTTTTGAACTAAAAAAGAGGCTACCCAATGAAAAGCCCCTTACCCACTCCCCCTCCCCTTGTCTCGTTTCTCAGATGTAAACACTATTTAAAATTTCCTTCCAGAAATTTTCTATTTGTATACAAGTGTCTATATGCACTTAAATACTTTTTTTTTTTTAAATCTTACTTCAAATATGTATGTTTATGTCTAGAGATACATGTAAATCTAGTCTACACCATATCGTTGTCTAAGAATACACAGCATCTCCAGTTTATTCTCAGGAGTATCTTAGAGAGCTTTCCTCGTCAGCACACACAGGTCCTTCACATTCTTTTGAACTAAAACAAAATATTCAGTAATTCAGATAACCGTAATTTATTTAACCAACCCTACAGAATATTTTTTGGGCTATTTTCAACTGCGTGTTCATATAATGAACATGTTTGTATATAATAGGATATATTCAATACAGGAATATTATGTTTTGAAATTCTGGTTAACTTTCACGTCGCTTCCTGGGCAGACCTATCCATCAACCCTCAGCTGTGACTGTAAACCCCTTCCTGTATTGTCGTAATTTTTTCATTTCTGCATCATACTTTTCTCCAGAGTTACAATCCCAGGATTCATAAGAAATAAAAAATAACGTTTACAAACTAAAACGGAGAACAGAGACCCTGAATTTTTCAATATGAATTAAATAAGAAACTATATGCTAACTTATGTGCAATCTGTCAGGATAATATAATATGCAAACAAACCTACCCCAAAATAGCTTTGGCTAAGAACTTTAGCTTAAATCTTCTGCCCTGCTCTCTGACATAAAGCAATGATGTATCAATAACATATGGATGTATCATCTGAGGAGGAAAGAGAACAGAATGAGTAGCATCCTATGCTGAAGGAGAAAACAAGTAGGCTGGAGACAGACGAGCCCAAGGCTTTAGACTGGTGACAAATGAAACAGGCATATGTACTAGGAAAACGAAGTCCTGAGTCAGATACCCACTTTCAGTGCCTTGAGATCCACGTCCAAGGAGTGTCCCACCAACACAGCGCTGGGAGGAAGCAGCGCTTTCAACTGTCTCTGGACGTCTTTGAGTTTTGTTGCCACCGGGTCAAGAATCTTCTTTGTGATTCCTGAGAAGCTTTTAAAAAAAGAGAGAAATGGACAAGCCAGGATATTAACAAGTTTTCTTCCCTGGAAAATCATTTCGAAAAGAATATTTTAAAAAAAATTAATATATTCTCAGTGTAAAAAGGTTGAAAATACAAATAAGCAAAGAGTAAATTAAAAATTACCCATGATCCCATCACCCAAAGATAATTTTTTATTTTAGGAAATATCCTTTCATAATTTTGTTAATATGTATTCATGTATATATTTAATTTTTATAAAAATGTAATCATAATACATATGCTTTTTACAACACAATTTTGTCATTGTTCATACCATGAACAAATTTTCACTTCAATACATGTATTAGGACTCCACGATATGGCTATAACACACTTGAACCAATCTCAACTTTTCAGACATTTACATTCCATAATTTTGCAATGCTCTGACAAACACGCTCACACATACGTCTTTGCCACACACGACCATTTCCTAAGAGCTCTAATTATTCTGCCAGGACAACCTCTCTGCCTGTCAATATGAATCTACAGGTATAACTTCAGTGGGCAGAAACACTGTTTCTGGCTCTTCCTTGCTTAAGCACTGCAGGGTGTGCATTCTGAAATTGCATGCTGATTTCTGGAAAGACAGACTAACATTTTGAGCTTCAAATTTCTGTTACGGAAAAACTTAGTTTTGTTTTGGTTTTTGAGGTCAAGGCAGAGTAACCCCTAAGGTCATTTGATGGCGAAATGATGACGTGTAGATTTGTCAGATAAGGTCTCATCAGAGTAAAGCTCCAGCTGTTTGGCAGTTGCCAGATAATGATTACAACTGGGAGAGTCTATAACAAGGAAAACAATATTCTGCTAACTTAGGGTCACAGGAAGATCAGAGAACAAGAAGGGTAAGACGCTGTGCACTGTAGTATTACAGCTTATAGTTGTGGTACCCAGCCTTTTCTCTGATAACATGTGAGCAGACATAATAAATAACACACAACTAACTAAACGGAAGCCCAGGCTGTTCCCATGAAGTCTCATCCCACCCTTGTCTAACAGCACTACGAAGAGCTAAAGGCGAGGTGACAGGTACCTGGTGAGGTAGTCCAAAATCTTGTTGTCAGGCTTAACGAGCTCATCCATGACACAGCCGCCTCCTTCGGCAACCAGTGAGATACGCGTCAGCTCTCTCCCCTTGGATGTGAGGCACTGAAAAACCAGGGCGTGGTCAGGGGCCGAAGTGTGGGACTGTAACATAGTCTGTACCCATCTACCCTCACCTGCTGGGGTCCCTGTGACCATGGCACAGCCTTTCGCTGACCAGAAAATCCAGTTTCAATGAAATTAAAGCTAGGCAGGCTGCTGAACATTACACTTAAGGTAACCACCGAAGCCCAGTTTCTCTGGGAAGGATGAGCTTAAGGACGATGAATGGGAACAGGTGCGTCAATCACGACTATACATTTACTGAGTGCACTATACCCCAGCGCTGTGCTCAGCACCACTAACAGGCGGCCCTCATCAGTAGGCTCTCTTACCATCTAACGTGGTAGCAGCCATTTTACAAGTGCCACCTCGCGATAACCCTGAGGCAGCCTCTATGATCTTCCCCACTTCATAGAGGGAAAAGCTGAGGCTGAGGGAGGCTAGGAATTTGTCCAAGATGACACCACCACCAACAGCCCAGGAAAGGACATACACTGCGATGTAACAGACCAGAACTTGGCTACTCTGTTCAGAACTGAGAAACCGTTACCCAGGCGCTAAGTGAGAGGGGGCGCCCTGGATTTGAAAGGAAATTACTAATCAGACAGAGGACAACACAGCGGGGGCTTAGGCAGGGGAATCCCACTTCTGATCTTAAATTACAAAACTAAGCCAAGCTCATGGTCACTGAGACAAAGTTGTCAAGGCAACGACATAACATCTGTTCAAAAGAGAAGTAGTAAACTTGTAGTAATACAGAAGGTTTCACTAAACATAGCAACTACTTAGAACGCATGTGACGTTTATTCTTCATCCTGCAGCATAAATCCAAGTTTTCTAAAATGGAGTAAGAGGGTCTGCCTACAGTTATCTAAACTGAACACGGGAACTGAACACACTGGTTCGCTGGTGGGTGAGACTCGAGACGTCATCTGCTAGACCCTGGTCTGCAATACTCCAGGTGAAAAAGCAAAAGCAGCACTTACCATTTCACAGTCAAGTCCAAAGAGAGGACTGTTGTCTGTTACAGCACCATTACATTTAGTAGGCACAAAGTTTTCACAGTCAGGAAAACCTAAGAGGAAAAAGAATAAACATTTGCCTTCTGAACTAGAGATGGTAAACATCATTCTTAGAGTCATCCAGGGGAAACTGAAATAACATGTTTGCTGGGCCCCTTTTCTACGTTAGACACTGGAAATATACAGATTGAATGCGAGATCGTCTGTCCTCAAGTTTTCCTCCGTCCACGCACTGTTATGTTCTAGGGAAACGATGTAGGCTGCTGTTATAGGAAAGACGAGGGTCTGGATTTCCTGATGGTGACCACGCAACACTTTTTTCTCCTATGAGAAGAAAGACTTTAAATTGTGGCTAAATCCAAAGTCACTGGACCTTTTCCATGGAGGCACTAAGGGAGGGTGAGTAAACAATGTAAATGCCTGCATGTGGCATTTTTCTTTCATAAACAAAGCAAATAAAAGTGGGAATGAGGTTCCGCCATAATAGAAACCTAAAAGGGTTTCACTGTAAGCAAAAAGCTTTAGTAATATTCACCTTGAAGACTCCTGCATCCAGCTCTACCCTGGAAATTTCCCTGAACTGTTCAGAAACGTGCCTTCATTTCCTGAAATCACAGCCTGAAAATTCCCTACAGAGGCTCAGCTATAGGCTTAGAGTACCCCCTCCAACGTGTACACTAAATTGATAACCAGGCATATTTAGCACAGAGGCCCAAAAGCGTTTGAATCACTGAAGATGGAGACCTCAGATAGAGGCCGAAACAGAAAAGGTGACACCTAGATCTTGTCTGACTAGAAAGAAAGGAGAGCATGAAAAGCTTTGACCAGTTTCCATGTCACAAGACCCTGAAATTTTCCACTGGTTATAATGAAAATAATCAAAATATGATCTAAATCAGAAAGAAAGAGGCATCCCCAAATCTGGGAGACAATATACTTGCTGCCCTCCCTATCTACATTATCACTAGCAAAGAATTCCTCTGTACAGTGCGATGTGCCAGGCACCACGCTAAACACCGTTTGTACATTAACTCACTCCATCCTCACAGCACTCCTATGATACACGGACTGTTAGCTCCACTCTACAGGTGGCCTTTCACTTAAATAAATCTAGATTAAGACAATTTGTTTCCAGAAAAAAGAATTCTAATAACTCAATAATTAAAAAAAAAAAGCTCAATTAAAAAATGGGCAAAGGATTTGAAAACATATATAAATGGCCAACAAAAGCAAATGAAATGATGCTCAACATTATCAGCCATCTGAGAAATGCAAATCAAAATGAGATACTACTTCACATCCACTACGATGAGTACCATCAAAAAGAGAGAATAACAAGTGTTGACAAGAACATACAGAAACTGGAACCGTCATCCATCGCTGGAGGGAATGCGAAATGTTGCGGCTGCTTTGGAACATAGTCTGGTGACTCCTCAAAAGATTAAATAGAGAGTTATCCTATGACCCAGCAATTCCACCCTAGGTGTATACCCAATGAAACGAAAACACAGCAAAAGTGGAAACGACCCAAATGTCCATCCACTGAGGAATAGGTAGTGATATATCCATATGCATGAAACATAACTCGAATGAAAATAAATGAAGTACTGACAGCAGCTACGACATGGATGAACCTTGAGAATTTTATGCTAAATGAAAGCAGCCAGTTACAAAAGACCACATGATGTACGATTCCACCACTATGAACTCTCCACAACAGGTGAACTAGGGCTCAGGGTGCTGGGGGGAAATAACAGTGCGGGATCTCTTTTTGGATGATGTAAGTATCCCAGGATCGATTGTGGTGATGGTTGTAAAACTCTGTAAACGTACTAAAAACTATTGAATTGTAGACTATAAATGGATGAATTGTATGGTAGGTTAATTATACCTCAATAGAGCTGTTTTAAGGTCACATTCGTGAACTACCTAAAATCATCACTTTACTAAATCCTGGTACACATCCTACACTACAGGGAACACTGCACTTAAATGATATCCTCATAAATAGAAGATGGAAAAAGTTACTTGAAAAGCAGCCAAAAAAATGAACTTTCAACAGCAATATTTTTAAATAAACTGCTAGGTATTCTAATATTGTTACCAACATCAGAGTACATCTAAACCAACCTTGTAATGGAAAGTGAAATGTTTTCATTTCCTCCTTTGTGAGAAGGCATCTGGTCAAGCCCACTTTCTTAGAGCCGTACTTCTGAATAATGGGGTCGTTCTGAAGGTTGATGCTGACTTTTGAACCAGCAGAAGGTAAAGAACCTGCAACAAGGACGATTGAATGTACGTTAGAATCTGTTTAAGAGACCTCAGAGGACATGTCTCTTAAACACTGTGTAGGGTAAGCACGGTGAAGAGCAACAGATGTGTTAAGACTCAACGCCAACTTTTAAGGAGCTTGCATTCCAATACATTTACAGGAACACAGAGAGAAAATAAGTTCCAAACAGATTATAGTAACAACAGTTCAGACGGTTGGTATGTCACACCTGTCCGTTAGTGCCTCCACTCCTAACAGCCCATTCTAGTTAAATCTACTCCATCCCTGGCCACTTGCTAAAGCTCCAACATGCTCTTTAAGCAGGAGTGGTCACCGATTAGATTAAGAGTAGGGACCTGGCTTAGGGGAGACCCATCTAAAAACTGACCAGTGACTTGATATTCTGTGTCAACACATGTTCAAAAGTGACAATGGTATTTAGCTAAGATGATCAGATTGCTTGCTTCCAAAATTGAACCAGGAAATATAGAGAATTGACCACTTAGAATAGAAAAGAGAAGAAGCCATGAAAGAGACAGGGAACAGCTCTTCATTAGAAGCACTCAGATTCCCAATGGCTCTCTGGTCCACATGTGTCCTTCGAATAATACCCCTCTCACTTAAGGTGAACTCAGATAAGTTCTACTCTATTCCATCACTCACCATCTTCCCTCCCCCAGAACAGAAGGTCAGCTATACTGTTTAGCTATAATTCGCTAATGGGACGCAACCCACAATTTGAAAAACACTGCTATTACGGATATTTTCTTTTAGCTGGCCAACATCTAAATCTCCTGCTATTACTCCCACTGTGGATAGTAATAGTGGGTGTCCTTTATGTCAGTCAAAGGCAAGATCTTCCTTCCCATCTGCACACTTGTAGGTACGAAGACCCTGCGACAGTTTAAAAATTATTCACAGTAATTCGTGAGAGTCCAATGTTAGCGATATCCAGGGGAAGCCTTAGCTCCCTAACTTAACAAGGTGGCTTCTGAGGCTTGAATCCTAGCTACAGTTTCTGCTGTCTAGTCTACCTGGGTACTTATCCAGTTTTTCCTCTAAAAAAATTGCTTTTTTGTCTAAAATAGTTAGAATTGAGTTTTGTTGCTTGCAAGAATAAAATTGCCTGACGAACCTACTTACAAGCATATCCGTATCTTTTAGAATAAGCGAATCATCACACCAGAGTCGCAACCATACCTTCGACTGTCTTGGACAGATCCCCAGTTGTTCGTTTCTTTTGCAGCCCAACGATATCAGCTAGAAAATCAGATGATGGGGAAGGCAGGCGGAATTTCTGAAAAATACATAACAGATCGTTACAAAAATGCTCAAAAGCAGTTAACATACTGTCTGGACTTACACTGTCAGCTCAGTGCTAGAGAAGATCTGGACCTTAATCGTTTGTATTGTAAAAATGAGAACTGCTTTCGTCAATGTATGAAATACTAGGAAAGTGAAGCCGCATTTATCCCACTCCAGAAATTTTCTTTGCTTCTCTTATTACACATTGTTAAGAAAAACAAACATTATCGAAATGTCCATCACAGAGAAGGAAGTCCCTTGTATTTTTCACAGCACTTCCACATCTGTTATTTCAGTGGACGGCACGCCAGGTGACACAGCAAACTGTTGAGGGCTCCAGCCTCACGCTCACTTGGGCTTCAGTTGCAGCTCTACCACTTACTAGCTGTAACTTGGATAAGTCATTCAGTTTCCTTATGTATAAAATAGGAATAAAAAAGCATCCCTCTCTTACACAACTACTGTGAGAATTAAAGGGGATGTATGCAGCATGATTAATGTAGGGCCGAGCGCATAGGCAGAGGTCAGTAAATGAAAGCAGAAAAGAAAATGGAGACCCAATGAGATTAAATTAGGCCTCACCAACTCAAATACCCTTAAGGGTAAATGCATGAAACAGTCCATTCTCCCATAGCTCCTCCATTCCCTATTAGACTGTGATATTGTCAAGAGAGGCCAAAAACCACAGATTCCATGTAAATTTTACAATTTTTGAAAACACCATAGCCCAAAGAAAATAGGATGATATCAACCTGGGAGCTACAGACTGCAATCTGGGAATAAGTGTTTTGCCTAAAATCCCAAAGAAAATCAGAGATCAGCCCAATCTGAAGACGAGAGCTCTGCATCGTAGTCCTTTCTGTTCCACAGCCCCATCCCCTTTTCCATCAGCTGCCAGGGAGCCCAGTTTGGGGCCCTGCACTGGTCTCTGGGAGGGAGGGCTGGACGCAGGCCCCAATCCAAGGCGTCCTTAAACTTACGTGTCTGAATGCCTTTCGGAGAAACCCAAACTCCAAATAGAACCTGTAAAAGTGGAGCTGACTCATCCCCTGCAGTACAAAAACCACCACGTTGTTCAGGTTGTTTTGGTGGAAAAGCTGGCACCAGCTGTTGAAACATCAAACCAAAACAGCTTAAGTCAGTTTCAGGCATACAGAAGGGAAGTGTGGGGAAAAGCAGGAGGCAACACCTCATAGTTTATCATCACTCACCAACTGGAAATGGAAAACAGCTATCACTGCACAGAATTCAAGTAAAGATCTCTTAAGATAATTATTGAATCAAGTAGACTCCCATGTGAAATGCAATGTATTCAAATCCAAAATCCTGTTAACATTTGTTTGAAATCTGACATTAGGATTTGTTTGAGAGGAAGGAGGCTCTCACTCTAGTGAAGGCACACCCACCCTCAGGACCCCACCTGCCGGGCGGTTCCTTCCCCCTCTCCCTGCAGGTAATCATGACCTGCTGCGAGGCAGTTTTAGATAAATGACAGGCCAACGGCAATGTTTGTTAATGTGGATGATGGCTTTTGAAGTGTCTGACCAACCTCCCCCAGACAGATGTGTGCATCTGAAAATCTCCCTCTTGGTACATATGTGAAAGCAGTTTTCATGAGACGTTTAATAATGGCGTTAAGGATATCAGAACAGTAAAATTCTCTTTGCCTTTTTTGGTAAAGGAAGAAAAAAGACTGAGATTCTTAACATATATCATGTTATTTCAATTGGGTCTCTGCTGGGGTTACAAACCAGAATACCTATAGCGGTGAGACAGACACTGTAAATAAGGGAAGCAGGCCAGGTGGGACACTGAAGTCGCATGTCCCAATAAGGAGGGAGGCCACTGTTCAGCCTTGACAAATGTTGCCACGTGAGGATAACAGGGACAGATGCCAAACCTGAGGTTTTTGAAGTAGTCAAAAATCTGGATTTTTATAAAGGAATTCCCAAATAAAAGTGTTGGCAACTACCACAAAAATTTTTTTACGACATTCTGTGTGGTAAACGGATGTCAGTTAAGGCAGATATGGCCCTCTAGACACCAGTACGAAAGCTCAGGTCTCACCCACCAGTTAAGTTCATGTCATACCTGGGTTTAGGAACGCTGGACTTGCCCAGAACTGCATACTTCAGCAATTCACATAGCTGGGCATGGGTTACTTCACAGTTTTCAGCAAATAAAATGGTAGATAAGCGTGCTTTCTGTAAAGATATCAGGGCATAACAAATTATTGAGAACGGCAACAAAGCAAGGCCAATTATTAAAATATTCTAGTTTGATTATTTTAGCAGATATCCAAACATAAGGAAATGATAAAACCTATGATGTGCCATTATTAATAGAACATTTAATAAACCCTGATATAGAACCTTAATTATGGATACTTGATTATGGGCTAATAAGGATAGTAGGATGAGTAAAACAATGATTCATGCCCTGAAGGAGTGGGGTAAAAGGGCAGAAACAGGTAATTCCCATAGCATGTGGGTAAGTGCTATACAAAGGTACAGGAGCGAAGAAGCTAACTGCCTTGAGGATCAGACTGTGGGGGGAGCTTCACCGAAGGAAAATACTGGGGCTGAGTCAGCCAAGTAGGAGGCTTCAATTCCAGGGGTTCGGCTGGAGCCAAGGCTGCACGGTGCAGGCAGGAGACACACGAGAGGAGAGACAAGTGGGAGCCAGATCTCAGAAGAGCGAGTGGTCTAAGCGGAGGGGTTAGGCTTCGTTACGGGCAACAGCGAGTTCGCTGAAGGTCTGACCTTCCTTAAAACACCTTTGCACTTCTGTCCGGTCATTCAAGTAATTCATGTTTATTAAGAGAGTCAGATCATAGAAAAAGGTAAAATAGATAAATGACACACAATAAATAAAAAGACACACAATAAATAAATAAAAAGAAAAAAGACACAAAATAAATAAAAACTGTTTAGGGTGAGGAGGTCACCAAGGCGGACGGACAACAGTGGTATCACAGGATTCAGAGCCTGAACAGGGTGAGGGTGTTGGTGTGAGAGGATGGGGTAGCAGTCTGGTACAAGGTGCAGGGTGAGAGACCCAGTCGGACCAGCAGGGTGTTGGGGGGCGGGGGACAGCTTCAGCAATGGGGGACAAATACACTGAAGACAATGAGAGTCAGGTTTCTGTCAGAGATAAAAATTATAAAGATGAAAAGGGAGAAAACTAGAACTCTGTGGAATTGGACTGGAAGTAGAGATACTGATACTGAGAGGGAAAAAAAAATATAGCCCATCTGATAAGCAAAAAAAAAAAAAAAGAAAAATCAAATCCGTTTTTAATAAAAAATGTTTCCACAGCACTAATTCCTTTCTCAACTACGACATAACTTGTCTGTCCTACTGATTATCTTCTCTCTCTCCACTTGAACTCGTCTTTGGTTTATTCACTGATGTACCTCAAGTGCCTAAGGCCGTGCCCAACACCGGGCAAACGACAGAAATGTGGTGACTGGCAGGGGTGACCGTCAGCCTTAATACCCCGAATTGGAATGTAAACTGCACGAGGGCAGGGGCATTTTGCGTTTCTGTTGCAGCGGGATAACCCCAGAACCCAGAACCGTTCCTGGCAGACGGAAGACCTCTCGGTAAGTACTTGCTGCGCGAACATTCTTCTCGTGTGCCAGGCACTACGCCAGCCTGAAACCGCCCGTGTCGGCCCTGAGATGGGTGGGGATGCGTCGTCATTCCCATTTTCCGGACCGGACGGCAGGCCCCGAGAGGCGTCCAGGGGTTCCCCCGCCCCCAAGGCGGCCGGGCCGAGGGTCTGGGCGCCCCCCAGCGGCTCACCTTGACCTCGGGATGCCTCTCCTCAAATTCCCATCCCGCTCTCATGGCCTCGGCCGCCCCGACCAGCTTGCTGGGGGCCCGCCTCCTCTTCCTGCCCTTCTTGGGCTGCCGCCCAGTCTTCTCCTTCTCTGGCTCCATGAGGCTGTGGAGAGAGATGAGCTGGAGCCGAGGCGAGCCCGACGCGCGCACTCCCCGGGCCGCCCCCCGACAGAGCAGCGGCCGGAGCCCCGGGAGCCCCTCTCCTCCGAGCGCAGACCGCCCTCGCCCGCCCGGAGGAGCGAGGGCGCCAACGGGCCGCGCCGCCCGGGGGCCAACGGCTTTACCGTCCGCGCCGCAGGCCCGAGTCCAAACGGTTCCCCACCCGCCGCTCGCGCCTCCGCCCGCTGGCAAAACAATAAAAATGAAAATAAAAACGGGAAGGGGGCGCTGCCAGGCGGCTCCCACTCCAAGACGACTCCCCACCGCCCCGGGCCCCGAAAACGCCGCCGAGAAGCCGGGCGGAGACCGCGGACCGCTGCCCCTGCCTCAGCTGTA